TTTTTTTTTTTTTTTGCTATTGTTGTCATTGTTGTTGTTTAGCAGGCCTAGGCAGGGTTTGAACCCACCAGTCCTGGTGCATATATGGCCGGCGCCCTAACCACTGAGGTATGGGCACCGAGCCCATATGCACTTTTGTTTTCCATAATTTAAGAAAGCAGTGTAAAAACTGGGAAAATTTCAGGGATGAACAGTGCCAATATTTAAATTAAAGGTAAGCTGAAACACGCTCTCTCTTATTTTCTGTATTTGAGGATATCATAATGGCATAATATATTCAAGTCCTATAAGAATTTCCATTTTCTCTGAAACATGAAAATACACCTTGTGAGAACTCAGCTGTCAATGTACTTACTGGAAATGGTGGGGGTGGTTTCAACACCACGTCAGGTAACTTCTCCCCTCTGCTAAATCCAACGGCCTCGACATTAAAGGTAAAAGCAGCACGTCCTCTTCCTTTATTCCCAGCCATGGGAACTAGTTACACCAGAAAAGCGGCAAACTCTGAAAGACACTAGTAATGACTAAGATTTACTGAACCACATAAAAAAGGAAACTAACATTCTAAAGCAGAATATAAAAACCCATCCCTTAAGTAGCGTCACCAATTTAAAATAAAGAAATAAACATGTTTGTCTATGTCTCTATTTTTGCGCCAATACCATGCTGTTTGGACCACTATGACCTCGTAGTACACCTAAAGTCTGGTAGGCGGATGCCCTTGGCCTTGTTTTTATTATTAGGAACTGCCTTAGCTATATAGTTTTTTCTGTTTCCATACAAAATGAAGACTCATTTTTTCCAAGTCTTGAAAGTACAATCTTGGTACTTTAAAAGGGATGGCACTGAATCTATAGATTGCTTTGGGTAGTATAGACATTTTAACAATGTTGATTCTTCCCAGCCATGAGCATGGTATATTCTTCTATTTGTTAATATATTCTGCTATTTCTTTTCTTAGGGTTTCATAATTTTCTTTATAGAGGTCCTTCACCTCTTTTGTTAGGTATATTCCTAGGTATTTCATTTTCTTTGAAGCTACTGTGAGGGGGATTGTGTCCTTAATTCTCATCTTTGCTGTTATTGGTGTATACAAAGGCTATTGACTTGTAGACATTGATTTTATATCCTGACACATTACCGTATTTTTTGATCACTTCCAGGAGTCTGTGGTTGAGTCTTTGGGGTTCTCTAAGTATAAGATCATATTGTCAGTAAAGACTTTGACCTTCTCTGCTCCCATCTGGATGCCCTTTACTTCCTTCTCTTGCCTAATTATATTAGGAGAACTGGATATCTACATGTAAAAGACTGAAACCAGACCCGCACCTTTCTCCACTCACAAAAATTGATTCAAGATGGATAAAAGACCTAACTTTAAGGCATGAAACGATAAAAATCCTCAAAGCATGGGAAAAACACTTGAAGACATTGGCCTGGGGAAAGACTTTATGAAGAAGACTTCTGTGGTAATTGCAACAACAAAAATAAACCAATGGGACTTAAACTGAAAAGCTTCTATACAGCTAAGGAAACAACAACCAAAGCAAATAGATAATCTATACAATGGGAAAGGATATTTGCCTATTTTGTTTTATTTATTTATTTTAGAGACAGAGTCTCACTTTCTCGCTCTCAGTAGAGCGCCATGGCATCACAGCTCACAGCAACTTCCAACTCCTGGGCTTAGACGATTCTCTTGCCTCAGCCTCCAGAGTAGCTGGGACTACAGGTGCCTGCCGCAATGCCTGGCTACTTTTTTTTGTTGCAGTTTGGCAGGGGCTGGGTCTGAACCCACCATCTTCAGTATATGGAGTCGGTGCCCTACCCACTGAGCTACAGGCACCGCCCCGATATTTGCATATTTTGAATTAGACAAAAGCTTGATAACTAGGATCTACAAAGAACTCAAATTAATCAACATGAAAAAAGCCACAGTCCCTTATATTAATAGGCAAGAGAGATGAATAGAACCGTCTCTAAAGAAGACAGATGAATGGCTAACAAACATATGAAAAAATGCTCATCATCCCTAATTAGAGAAATGCAAATCAAAACCACCCTGAGATATCATCTAACCCCAGTGAGAATGGCCCATATCACAAAATCTCAAAACTGCAGATGCTGGCATGGATGTGGAGAGAAAGGAACACTTTTACACCACTGGTGGGACTGCAAACTAATACAACCTTTTTGGAAAGAAGTATGGGGAACCCTCAAAGAACTTAAGCTAGGCCTCCCATTTGATCCTGCAATCCCATTACTGGGCATCTAACTAGAAGAAAAAAATCCTTTTACCATAAGGACACCGGCACTACACTGTTCATCACAGCTCAATTTACAATTGCCAAAATGTGGAAATAGCCAAAACGCCCACCAACTCAGGAATGGATTAACAAGCTGTGATATATGTATACCATGGGATACCATTCAGCCATTAAAAAAGATGGAGACTTTACATCTTTTGTATTAATCTGGATGGAAATGGAGCACATTATTCTTAGTAAAGCATCATAAGAATGGAGAAGAATCCCACGTACTCAATTCTGATGTGAGGACAATTAAGGACCAAATACATGGTAGGGGGTAGAGGAAGGGGAGAGCAGAGAAAAGGAAGGAGTGGGGCATGCAGTGTTTCGGTGAGTGACACCCCTTTTGGGGGCAGGACACAACTATAAGAGGGACTTTATCTAACAAATGCAATCAATGTAACCTGGTTCTTTGTACCCTCAATGAATCCCTGCCAATAAAAAAAAAAGGGCTTGACACCTGTAGCACAGTGGTTATGGTGCCAGCCACATACCACATACATGGAGGGTGGCAGGTTCAAACCTGGCCCGGGCCAGCTAAAACAATGATGACAACTGCAACAAAAAATAGCCAGGCATTGTGGTGGGCACCTGTAGTCCCAGCTACTTGGGAGGTTGAGGCAAGAGAATCACTTGAGCCCAAGAGTTCTAGGTTGCTGTGAGATGCCACAGCACTCTACCAAGGGTGACATGTGATGCCATGGCACTCGACCAAGGGCGGCATAGTGAGACTCTGTCTCAAAAAAAAGAAAGAAAGAAACACGTGCCAACTAACTACGGAAGCTCTCCATGCAGCTGCATTTGACAGGTGGGGTGATGATGGTCTGTACACACCTACCCAGGTCCTGGGTGGCCTGAGCTGGGTTTCCATTGAGATGCTGTGCTGACCACTGCATAGCCAGCTGATGCAATTCTCTCCACCTCTCTGTGGTTTGGCCACAGGTTCTCGGATACACATAAAATATGAAGACAAGAAAAGGTTGGCTGATGAGAAGACATCTTGCTTTTTCATATCAAATTGAAAACTGTTAATCATATACATTTTAAAAGTTCAAATAATTAATTTATCCCAAAGGCTGGTTGCAGTGGCTCATGCCTGTAATCCTAGCAATCTAGGAGGCTGAGGTGGGATTAGTTGAACTCAGGAGTTGGAGAACAACCTGAGCAAGAGTGAGACTTTGTCTCTAAAAAACAGCTGGGCATTGTGGTGGGAGCCTGTGGTCCCAGCTATTTGGGAGGCTGAGGTAAGAGCACTTGAGTCCAAGAGTTTGAGGCTGCTGTGAGCTAAGATGCCACGGCACTCTGGTGACAAAGTAAGACTCTGTCCCCCCCTCCCCAAAAAAGATCCATCCCAGACTGAGATCTAGTCCAATGTCCTTCTCAAAGCATCCTTGAGATCTAGTCCAATGTCCTTCTCTCAGAAATGATAATGGGGCCAGGCACGATGGCTCACACCTAGATCTCTGGGAGGCTCAGGCAGGTGGATTACTTGAGTTCAGGAGTTTGAGACCAGCCTAAGCGAGAGTGAGACTCCATCTCTACTAAAAATAGAAGTTGCTGTAAGCTATGATGATGCCACAGCACTCTACCCAGGATGACAGAGTGAGACTCTAGGAATGAGATCAGTAAGGCTTTGAAGAGGTCTGTGCCCAAATAAAAAACCAAAAAAGAAAAAGAAAAAAACAAAATGAAAATTCAGAGAAAAACAGCGGACATGATTAAGGTCTCCATCTTTGGGGACAGTATCCCGCACCTACATCTTGCACTAAGCGTCTGAATTGTCTGAAACACGATGGCACTGTAACGTGAGAGCTGAGCTGGCAGTGGATTAACAGGCATCATAACCACACTGGGATTCTTTCAGTGGAACTCTGCGCTCAACTGTAGTGAAGATGACAATGCACATTCTTTACACCTTTTCCAGCTGGTAGTACCGAGGCTCACGTAGCCCTATGAGCCCAACACAGCAAGGCTGTCTCCTCTGGGCCACTTGAGAGAAGTCAGAGAATGGCTTGGATTCCAGCCCCTCAGCTCGGTCTCATCTCTCAGTCTAGTCACTAGCCCTCCTTTCGGAATCACACAGCCACAATACTGCACACAAATGCCGCACTACTCACCAGGGCTCCTCCCCAAGACAAAAGGTCATTATTAATGTTACTCTCCAGCTTTGCCACATTAATGGTGAAGGAATGCCTCCTAAGAACAAGGGGCTACTTCTTTGTTATCTTTTCAACAGTCTACAATTTGAATATATATAGTACTTTGGTCCAAAAGCCTGAAAAACTCCAGCTCACTTTATCACAGGGCCAACACTATAAAGCAAGCAATTCTCACCTGGCTGCCAGTAGGATCACATGGGTAGATTAAAAACTTCGGGGCTGGTTTTCTATTTTTAGTAGAGATAATGCTCACGAAGCTCACTCTGTTCAGGCTGGTCTCGAACGCCTAAGCTCAGGTGATCCACCCGCCTGGGCCTCCCAGAGTGCTGAGATTAACAGGTGTGAGCCACCGTGCCCAGCAACATTCAGAAATTTTTTTAAAATTAGAAAAAAAAAGGCTTAAGAGACATGTTACTCCAATATAATTTGTGGATTTTTTCGTCTCTTCCTTGAACAAACTCACTGTAAAAAAATTTATGTGACATCTGAAGGAATTTGAACAGTGTCGAGATGATAGTAAAGAATTGTTAAAATTTTACATGCAGCTCCACACCCAAACGGGCTGTGGGAGAAGAGGCAACCGGTTACTGGGCTTTAGCGCCTTTCAGGTGGTGGTAGGTTTGAAGCGCTTTAAAGGACCTGACCCAGGGTAGGGGGAACTCTACCAGTGCAGACTGCAGTATTGGAGCCGTGGGAATGAAGGTTCAGCGTCTTCAATGTTTTTCTGACATTGCCATTAACAATCGACCTGCTGGAAGAGTTGTCTTTGAACAGTTTTTGGACGTGTGCCCTAAAACATTCGAGAACTTTCTTTGTGTTAGTACAGGAGAAAAGGGGACAGGGAAATCAACACAGAAGCCATTACATCGTAAGAGTTGCCTGTTTCACAGAGTTGTCAAGGGTTTTATGGTTCAAGGTGGTGACTTCAGTGAAGGAAATGGATGAGGAGGGGAATCTATTTGTGGAGGATTTTTTGAAGATGAGAGTTTTGGTGTTAAACACAACGTAAATCTCTTATCAATGGCCAACAGAGGGAAGGATACAAATGGCTCACAGTTCTTCACAAC